CTTTGGCTATGTATATTTTCACCAGAAAAAAAAAAAGCCGAGAAGGGAGAGGGTTGACATGTCATGGGGTTGTTAACCAATGTCATAAAACAATATGTGTACTACTGTTTAGTGAGAAACTATTTGTTCTGTAAACCACCTGAAGTACATTAAAAATAAAATAAAATAAAACAATAAAAAAAAAGAGTGCCTACTAAAGTCTAAACTGATGTCTTATTTTCTGTATTTTTTGGTATTCTTATAGCAAGCAGAGATATTAAGATCATTCAACCAACCCTAGAGTTGCAATCATTTCTTTCAAAATAGGCAGTATAATAGTATGTGTAATTCAGTGCATGAAAGGCAATGAAGACCTAAATTAAGATTTACATAAAAGGTTCTAGCATCTTCCTGTACCAGGTTACTTTGCTGTTCTCCCTCCTGTCCCCTAGAACATCAAAAAAAGAAAAAAAAGTCACAAAAGGTAACCAAAATTTTGTGTATGTGTGTAAAAGAGAAGAAAACAAAGTGTAAGACCTTCTATGTTTAATGACTGTTATGGATTGAAATGTATTCCCCAAGAAGATATGTTGAAGTCCTAACCTGTGTATATGTGAATGTGACCTTGTTTGGAAATAGAGTCTTTCTTTGAAGATGTTATCAGTTAAGTTATGAAGTCGTGACAAACAGAAAACCCAAAAGACCAAACTCGTTGCCATCAAGTCGATTCTAACTCATAGTGATCATACAGGACAGAGCAGAACTGCCCCATAGGGTTTACAAGGAGCAGCTGGTGGATCCAAACTGCCAACCTTCTGGTTAGCAGCCTAGCTCTTAACCACTGCGCCACTGGGGCTCCATGCCAAGTAGGGTGGGTCCTAATCCCTTCTGAGTGCTATCTTATGAATTCAGAGAACAGACATAGAGACACTCAGGGTAAGCCCCATATGAAGATGCATCTACAAGGCAAGGAATGCCAAAGACTGCCAGCAGCAAACAGAAGCTAGGAGAGAAGCATGGAACGGTTACTCTCTTAGAGCCCTCAGAAGGAATCAATACTGCTGATACTCTCATTTGGACTTCCAGCCTGCAGAACTGTGAGACAATAAAAGCCAAGCACTTTGTGCTATTTTGTTATAGCAACCCTGTGAAACTAAGACAGTGATGTCTAGATGCCCCCAAAGTTTTTGTTTGTTGTTTTTTTAAGTTACAAACATCAGAGTTTTTAAAAATTTCATCCTGATGTCTCTCTGAGTGATTTCCCAAGACCAGCAGTGTGGGACCCTACTACAAAAAGACACTGAAGAAACAGATCAAAGCCTTGAGAATAATAAAAGTGCTTAGCGGCAAAGTAAAAGTTTTAATTAGACCATGCTGAAGGAGTAGAGCAGTGACATGTTAAGCTTTAAAAAGCAGATGCTACCTTTATGTGATTTATATATCACACTATATTAACAAATAAATTAACTTCTCAGCTTACTTTTACCCAGTGCCATTCAGCAACCATCTCCACAGACCAAGAGGGATA